ATAATAATAATAATAATAATAATAATAATAATAATAATAATATAGTCAATGCCTCATTCTCCAAGTCTCATTGGACATGAGGCATTGAGGGGCAAATGATGGGTTAAGCTCAAATAGTCCAATTTATGTGTTAAAGTCCAACTCCAGTGGAGGAGCCCAACCTCATTTTGAATCCACCAAGCCCAAGACAGTCCAAGATCGGTTAGACTTTTTGCTTAGCACGTCATCAAGAGGAGAGCATGAGAAGCTTATCTGCACCACCGAAGGAAACGGTCCAATCTTTGACCGCGTTTCATGAAGAGCTCCCCAACCTCCTCCTTCCGTTGAGGATAAGTCATGATCTCCACCAGAATGATCTCTTAGCTGCGATAAAGTAGCCTCGAGGATAAGTCATGATCTCCACAAGAATGATCTCTTAGCTGCTATAAAGTAGCCTCAATCTGTTAAGAGACTACTATAAATGGCACGCCCTACCAACACTTACAGAAGACAGATCGACGACCGGAGACCACTGCTTCTTTGATTCTCCATTCTCTCAAAGCTTGTATCTCTATTCTCCATATCTTTGAATTAATAAAATACCCGGCAACTGAAGCCATTGAAGAGTGGACGTAGGTTGAATTGACCGAACCACTATAAATCGTGTCTTCTTTAATTTTCTTATTGATTTCACTACATTTATTACCTACACTTAACAGGTGGTGTGCAAAATCATTTTTGTGCATCATCAATACATATACACGAATCACACGATATGAGACAAATTAAGTCCATTATATGCTTATAGCGATCAAAGAGCAATATTACATGAATTTAAAAAATAAATTTGATAATTATAATTATTAATTTTATTGTAAATCTAATATTTATTGAGACTCCCTACTTATTCAATAATTAAAATTATCAAATTTAATTTTTAAATTCATATTTAACGTATAAATCAAAACCTACGGGCTCTGATCAGTGAAAAAAGTTGGCGACCTTCCACGAGATATAACGTGGTGACAACTGTTTCTACCATCACACTCAGTCACCTTTACCACTAGGAGCTCACCATCGCCAAGCAGACATCTCACCGACCACTGTCTCCATCTCTCTCTCTCTCTCTCTCTCTCTCTCTCTCTCTCTCTCTCGTGGCACAGGGCTGCGCTACGGAAATAAAGAACTTTATATGGTATGCCATGTTGATTTTTCGTCATCTCTTGATCAGATTGACACCCAAACACACAGAAGGCACTATCAACGGTCTAAATCCGTCCACTTGTCTTCCAGCCACCTTCACCTTAAGGGTGAAGTCTCCCTCTCTCTCTCTCTCTCTCATAAAAGCATAAAAATGTGTGGAGAGGGCAGACAATGCAACTACTGGAAGGAAACCAAAGTATATAGTTTTATACAGACACCCACACACCCTCATATACTACATATCAATCAGAATCCTCTTGGACCACAGGAGCTCAACTAATACAGATCTTCTTCTTCAGCATAATAATTATTGTTTTTTTACAGATAGACAGGTAGATATATAGAGATCATAGATAGATACATAGAGAGAGAATCTCAGACATGCTCACTTGTCATAAACTTGGAACTTCATTAATGCACTTCACTCTGTCCAATCTCTTTTATTATTACACAACCACACAACCCTTTTTCTCAAGCAAGAGGATCTTCAACTTCTCAAACTATCCAGTTTCATCTCTCTTCTTCAATTAAGACCCAAAGGCTAGATCCAGTTGGTGATCATATTAAAGTTTTTTTTTTAATGATTTTTGTATTTACTTTGTTCATGTGAAAGCATTTGAAATTCATATTGTTCAGGTTCAGAGGGTGCCTTTGGGAAAGCGGACACAGCTGGTGCTGACTGTCGTCAGGTCATGCCGAAAAGTGTTAGGTTAAGTCTCCCAACGAACACAACTCTCTTGTTTAGTTGACATCGATGAGTTTGAAACTCCTCTTCATACATCAAGATACATTTTGTTAGTTTGATCATATTGAGGATCCTTTTTTAGGGTTAGTTGCGAGGGTTTTAAAACGGTAACGGTGTAACAGGGACGGGTATTACTTTATTGTTTTGTTTGATGTGAATTTCGAGATGGGTTTGAGTACAAAGCAGGTTTCTGGTGATCATGGGATTGATTGGAGCCAGACCTTGTTGCAGCCGGCCCCTCTCGAGGTGCCAAAACCTCCACCTACAAGGCGGCAACAACCACAACAACCACCACCGGAGCGTTTGAAGTGTCCAAGGTGTGAATCAACAAACACAAAGTTCTGTTACTACAACAATTACAACAAGTCCCAGCCTCGCCATTACTGTAAAGCTTGTAAAAGGCACTGGACTAAAGGTGGCACTCTTCGCAACGTTCCCGTTGGCGGTGGTCGGAAAAACAGGCGGCTCAAGACATCAAATTCCACCACCACCACCGAGGCTGCCAGCACCACTAATAAGGGTAATGCTCTGAGTGTTAATAGCCAGCAACAAAACATATCTGATGTTCTGTACCAGGCCATGATTCGTCCACAATCTTCATTTCAACTTGATAAAATCAACAGCTTTCATGGGAAAACTTTGATGGGCAGCAATGGAGCCTTTACTGGTTCCACCATTTCTGCACCTCAAAATCAAAATCCGCATTTTTCATTCTCAAATTTGAGTTCTTTTGACACCAACCCATCTTCAATCCCCTCCTCTTTTCGATCACTGAATGAATATAACTACATTGAAAAGCTTGAAACTATGGAGGACTCAACTATCACCACCACAACCACCACCACCACCAACACCACCACTCCTTTTCCTACCACCACAAGCACCAACATTTTTTCTCAGCCATGGCAAATTTCTACATCAAGCTGTATGGTGGACATGCCAAACTACTGGAATTGGAATGATCTTGACATGTTATCAGCTGATCTCAACATACCTTGGGATGAAACTGAGATCAAATCCACAGGAATTTAATTATCATATTGGAGTGTCTATAGATCAACTTGTGTGAATTAAGGGTGTTTGCATTTGTTTTTTTGTTTTGTCTTGGCCTTACCCTCCGATATTAACCATATGCGTTTGTGTCTTTGTAATTGTATCTATCAACCTGTAACTATTGCAGTTAGATGTATACTGTTGGAAGCTGTCGTTTTTTAGTCTCGGCTTCAGGCTAAGATGCCCATTTTGCTCACTCTTCTCTCTCTCTCGCTCTCTCTCTCAATATATATATATATATATATATATATATATAATGTGAAGGGACGTATGGTAGGTTGGACAGTTTTATTCGCCATGGATTTTTGATAGAATTGGGAAGGATGGATTTGACAGATATATGTGAAAGAAATGGGGTCTCTTCCAGCTGGGGTTGGGATGATGGAAGATTCTTCTGAATAATTTCAATTACTTGGATTTTGTTTGCTCATAATTCATGTCCACTTGTTGGAAGAATGATTCTCTCTCGGTCTTCACAGCATTCGAATCGTTGGAGTAACTTAATTCTTTTTTTCCGACTGTAATGGTGTTTGGACTAGTTTTTGTGTAATTCGATTTTTTTATAACTGTTAAGGGTATTTAAATTAGTTTATGAGTATCTCAATTACTTTTTTTTTTTTTGATTTAGTCAAATGTAGGTAATCTACGTTAAGACTAAGGTATTCATGAGAAATAAATTTTTTATTACTTGATTTTAAAAGATTATCAAAATTTGAATTTAAAATATTTAAATTTATTGTTTGTTTATGTTATCATTTGAGTTACTCTTGAGATTGACTTAATGATGTAATAGTTGCGTGATATATTACTTCTAGACCCTAAAGAGTTGTAATTTATGATAATTGCATGTACTTGGAGATTTCTCACCCTAATAAATACCAGTGAATATTGCCAAGGTGATTGAAACATTACAAATTAAATTGATTTGTTAATTTAATCATGTGATAGAGACGTGATACAATAGTGTTATTGTGATTAAATTGATTTGTTAACTTAATCATCTGATAGACTGCGATTAAACTGATTTGTTAACTTAATCATGTGATAGAGACGTGATACAATAGTGTTATTGTGATTTGTTAGATACGAGTAGCATTAGTCATTTTTTAAAAGGTTTAGACCAAGTGAATTGGTGCTATGAATTGATAAACACAACAAAAATCCAATTAAATACAACTCAAACATGACACCAATTTGATTATATGCGATCGTAAATAAGTCAGATATAAGTTGAACAAAATTTGAATCGCGACTATGAACCATGATACATCCCATTGACAAACTTCATCTTTTGGTGAGAAACAGATTGAAAGAAACATAGGGAAAGGCATCTAAATCAATCAATATGCACTAGAAATGATCAGTCTCCCATGACCTTGGCACATTATTCATGCTTCTCATATAAACCCAAGATCACTAAACAGAACCCCTCTCAAACAACTAATCAAAAAGGAGAAAGGGGAATGACACGGAATCCTAATATCCCCCCCCCCCCCCCCCTCCCCTTTTTTTTTATCTGGGAAGTCACTACACCACCATATGAAAACTCAATGGCAATTTTTATAAACACGTCCAAAAATTCTTAAACTAGATGGCAGACATAATTGCCAAACAGTTCAAAAGTGTCAACTATGATACACAATTGCCATTGTTGAACACAGGTGAATACACCACATAATATCATTTGCACTCTGGCCGAACAACTCCACATCACACCTCTGCTACAAAATTGAGGGAGGATACAAGCTTCCGAGAATGCATAGTATGTATAGATACCGGCGACTGCTTCATAATCATAGCCAGGGTGCGCCTCTTCATTTACACAAATGTGGCACGGGTATACGAGGATGTACAATGAATCGCACTTAGTCATGTCCAACAGCTCGCCTTCCTAAAGAGGTTTGATTGACCCACTTTTGAGCCTCTGCATCCTTGCTTGCAACCCTGATAACGCCTTCCCATCCATAGGAAGAACCCTACTCTGCATAGGAGTCTCTGTACTATCTCGTTATGTGGCCAGAGGAAACTGACTCGGCAGTCCATGGGTTACATTGCTACTCATGGTTATCAAAGACCTGTTTCCAGATTCAGGGTTCCCAGCAGCGGCTGCAAACTGGATACTCTTCATCCTTTCTCTTATTGCATCTAATGTTCCACTGGTAACTGCAATTATGATATTAAATCAGACAGATTTTTCATTTAAAACCAAACAAAAACCAAAACTCAAGGCAAATGGTGGGAGTAGAAGTAACCTCCAGATTGGAATCTGTCATTTCTTTGCTCCCCCAAATGCTGTCGTAGTTCGAACTGATCAGATAATGGACCTCTTAAAGTGATGGCATTAGCAACCTGTCATCTTCAGCATAAGATGTGGGTAACATAAAATTTGTGGGTTCAACTTTAGTGTTCATAGAGTTTGCATTATTCAATGGGTTTGTATTTACAGGTGACAAAGGCATAAATTTTGGGGAAGAAAAGTTTAGGGCAGCCGAGGGAGGGTTGACAAAGGTAAACTTGAAGACGTCCTTCCAGCAGCTGCATTCTTCTCCATCAGCAATAGAGGTGAATGGCAGCAACTCATAAGCATATAATATTCATATTAATGCAAAATTGTACTGTTGAGCATATTAATGCAGACCTTGGCTAAACCGTCTCTAATGTATGTTCGAAATGCCACACTAGCATTTTGCAACTGAGAAAATATATCAACCTGAAATAAATAGCAAAACCTAAACGTAATGAATGACTGAACAATAAAAAAGGAACAAACAACTCTGTTATTTTACATAGCTCTCCCAAAAAGTTGAAATGTAAAAACAATAATTGCAAACGTCTTTCATATGATGCTGAAATACCTCTTTACCTTGGGATATAATTGGGTGATCCGATAAAGTTCATAAAGACCAATGATGCATGTTTGCTTGTCACCAATTTTCTTAAATATTGCAGCCAGTTCTTGCTGTAAGATGCATGCAGTACAGGGAATTTAATCAAGTAGAAAAGGGAAACATAAGAAAGAAACCTCCTATTCAAGCAATGTAAAAGACAAGGAAGAAATCAATCATTTACGAAATAACAATAGAAGGAGGAGAAAAAAACGGACACTCTGGAGAAGAAGGAACTGGAATAGCATTTGTTAATGGCTAAAACAAACATGTGAGATCAAACAACACAATGCACAATGATATCTTCAACTGGGCATTAGTAGAATGTGTGGCAGGTGATGGATTGTTGGCTACTGAATCACCCCAATGTGTTTGGCCAACAGGTCTAGATGGTGTTAACATTCTTGCAGTAGTCAAAGTTGGTAATTTTATACATTTTACAGATAAGTACAATAAGTGTAAAAAAGACTCCCATTAAACCCTTGCATTAAGTATGTTTTCTGGGTACCTGAAGATAAAGATCAATGTAGGCAAGAATAATGGGTTGGGGTTCCATGTCCATTGGAACCATATAAAGATGACCATTTATTGCAGTCCCACGAAGTGTAACAAGTTCATGTAGAACAGTTTTCACTCTACGCAATGGTTTGTCATCATCTCCCGCTCTATTAGTAAATCATAAATAGTGAATAGTGGATCATCCAACCAATCCATATCACAATAACAATCAACCAATCCATTACACATGGGAAAAAAAATTCAGCGCACAATAAAAAAAAAAGAGAGAGAGAGAGAGAGAAAATCAATAGTACCTTCTCCTAATTTCTTCCATCCCTAGTTCTTGCAGGTATAAGTGGATGCTTTGAAGGATACGATCAAGGTCAACCTCATATATAGTACTTTGAAGAACCTAAATCAGAGAAAAGCTAAGTCTGATAAATATCCGACAATAGAAGCCAAGGCAACTCTTTGATGCACATAAATCACATGCCAGGAGCTGAGTTCGGTATTTACCTATTCACAAGAACAGGCTCAAAAGTGTGTAAATATTCTAATGAAACAATACCAGTGAAAAAGCATGTGTGCTGGTATAAATAACTCCAACATTGTTTTTTTACAAATGAAGAAGAGATATCTGTGAGTCTGTAACTCGCCCTAGTCTATGGCATTGCACAATTCTTTCAAATAAAGTCTTTGACAAAGGAATAGATCAAACTAGACAAATGTAATTATTTTCTGCAATTTTATTAGTAGCATCTTGACAAAGAAGGTCAGACAAGTGTTGATTACCCAATATATGATTCAAAAGACAGTTTTGTTCCCATTGCAGTTAAACATCTCTAGCCCCAACAATGGCAGTGGAAGTCCACTGTTTAAGTAGTACATATTTGTGCCTGATAGATTAGAGAAACACACACTTACCAGAGCATTCCTACATTTAACCATTTAACCCACCAAATTTTCATTGGAAAGCAAACAAGTAAAGTAGATGGCAAGTAAGAAAGATCACCTTAGTAAGTTTGATTAGGCATTTGACATCAAAATCTGAGAACTTCTGATTTCAAAAGGCAACAGATTCATTTGATGCTGGAGATGGTCACCTTGACGGGTCCAGTGGGTGTAAAAGTTTGATCAGGACAACAAACGACAAGGTTCGTTTCGCATTATCCTGCATTAAAAATTAGTAGTCAATACAAAAATGTAATTCACACACAGATAGCAATTAAAAAAGATGCATTTTGGAGATCAATGTCACCAGGATCTTCAGCATCAAAACATTCAAAGCTTGCCGAAGTTGGCTGCCATCATCCATCCTGGGAACCCTTTCATCAAAAAGCCAAACCAGGAGTTCAGTAATAAGACTTCGAGGGTACTCTCCTTGACACCATGGGCTACCTGTTTATTTTGAAATGTCTGAAACAGAAACACAGAAAAATAAGAATTATTAAAAATTGGGTTTTACTTTTCATTATTAGCAACAAGAGAAAAACGACAAAAACAGAAGAAGTGGATAGTAAATTACTTGCACGAGTGTGTTCAGGACATATTGACAAGATCATGAAGAGGCACCAGTCAGACTAAAGTCAAAAGTCTTGGCAATCTGCAAAAAGAAAAAAAAAACTGTTTACAATAATTTTAAATATGATAGCGATGAGCTGATTGAAGGAGCATTCCAAAAGAAAAAGGTTAAACTGGATCTGTTCTGGCCTTATCTGCCAAGCAAGAAACAAGATGATCTGCATCTTTGACAATATCATCCATAGCACTGCCTTTGGGACCACTGGTTGCCTGTGCTAGATCATGGCACACAACCTTCATTCCTTCAACAGACTGCATCAACACAGTATCTCTTAACATAGAATTCTAAGAAAACTCCAAACTTCAATAAAAAATGTCAGTCTGGATGTATGTATGTCCCAAAAAACAAAATAATTCAAATCTGACTAAAGTTACCGACAGCATCAAAACATCATAGTTAAAAGCAAATGTTGTTGTGATAGTGATCCTGCTAACTATTGGACAAAAAATTCATGGACACAAGTTTTAGAGCACAACATTGCAAGATGGAGGAAGATCACCCGTCTCAACATCCCAGCCTTCCCCATGTCCTCGATATAACTTCCTTTTTGGAAATAAGCTAGAAGAACAGAAAGCTCAAGATGTAGAAGAAAAGGGCATTTGAAGCAGACAAAGGAACTGAATCATGCCTAATGTAAAAATCAGTAACGGCAACAAAACGGACTGGTTCTACTTGTGTAAAACATGGTTCATGCAGGTATACAGCCAACGAGCTCATATTAAAAAATGTTATGAATCAATGAGAGAAAATATTAGCTTAGGATGTCAACATGAGGATACCCTGTCTTCCATAGTCCTAATTTGCATTCATGTTTCTTAATGTAAAGTCACAACACACTACACAATATTAACCTAAAATACAAGACCTGACAATGATAAATGTTAATTTCCATTATATTCTTTATAATCCCTTACAAACATCATTAGGCAAAAGGCAAACCTGCTCAGGAGAACCATTAACAATAGCATGCAGAGCTTCATTCCAGTCCGTGGGGCCAATTGCACCAGCAAGTGTCCGGGGCATTGGATGTCTATCCATCTGACGCTCAGAATGACCATAATTCTCCCTAGAAGAAAACATTATTGGCATCTCATACATTTGTATCAGGTATAATTTACTTGATTCAACAATGAAAAGAGGACTACATGAACCAAAATTTGATGATTAAGTATAGAAGAAGAAATCATTCTGTACCTAATGATTGGGCCAGCTATAGATCGTGAAATATCACCACTTTGCTCTGCCACATCAGACCTGGGCATCAAAAAGCAAACAAGTTGGAACATGGATTGTCTGTACACTGCTTGCAACTCATGAAATCACAAGATGTAATCTTGTAGATCACAAGACTATATCAATGTATAAACTACAAACTTCCTCACAGAACTTAGCTTCCATGAAAAACAAAAAGGAGCATGGGCAAGAATAAGTGTAAACACTATGCACATGAAGCAACTTACATCATTAAACATGCCGTTAAATCAAACATCCTTAACTGATCAGAGCTATCAACATGTTAGCATTATCCCAAAATGGGTAGTTAAATGAAACTGGTTGGAAGCAGCTAAGATGCAGAGAGAGAGAGAGAGAGAGAGAGAGAGAGAGAGCAGGTGATGCACAACAGAACAAGTAATAGAATAATATCAACAATGGAAAGACAGATTCATCATATGTGATTAGACAGATAGAATAATGAACAACTGGTATGTGGACAACTACAATTCTAACCACCTCTGCAGTGAGTCCTAGCCACATGTTTTAGACTGAGAACAAGTAAAAGGTGTCAAATGTCAATTAGTTTAGTATTTAAACGTTCAACTAAGAAGACTCTTTTTAGGATATAACCAAGCATCCAACATCATGCAAATTGCACAAACGATATCATTCAAAAGTATACGCCATGTAAAGTTCATTATTAAATCAAAAGCCCAATCTCTATCCCACAAGCAAGGAGATTGTCATTTCTTCTGTGATTGATTAGGCCCAGACAGGAATAAGAAACCAAGAATGAAATTCTAATATCAGGGATAATCTTCTCACTAATTTTATTACAAATGTCATTTCATTTGTTCATTTGGCTAAAGCATGAATCTTTTTCCCAAGAAATACTGTTTTAATGGTATTGTTATTTATACTAGCCAATTCCAAAGGGACAATGGTCATGATAGCTCCTTCAGTAGTCAGTACAGGAGAACTTGCAGTATCACATTATGTACTACCATGGCAAGCCCAAAATACCACACATACATGATCACTATCATGGTACTATAGAAAGCAAGGAAAATTCTGAGCACCAAACTTCCTCAGTCATGTCATCCAAACACCTAAATTAAAACTGGAGAAGCAAGTGTAAGGGCATGTTTGGTAACTGTTTTTGTCCTGTGTTTTTTGTTTTTATTTTCAATTTTTGTCAAAAATGAAAACAAAAATATGTTTGGTAACTGTTTTTGTTTTTGTTTTGTATTAGTTGTATTGGAGACAAAGACAAAAAATGGGAACAAAAAAAAAGATGTTCTAGGAAACATGTTTTCTATTCAAATCCCATTAGCAACCAAAAGAGGGTTTTTTTTGTGTTTACTATAAATACCCTTTGAAGGATTTTTTTTTTCTTTTTTCTTCACTCTATTATCTTCTCTCTCTCTCTCAGACGAATATCGATACCTTAGACGACGAAGAACTCACAAATGACGAAGATTGATACCTCAGACGAAGATCGATCCGTCGTTCTCTCTTTGTCTCGCTCTCACAAACGACGAAGAACTTAGATGATCTCTCTCTGTCGAACTCAGATGAAGAACTCAAACAACAAACCACAAAGAACTCAGATCGATAATTCAGATAGTTACCTCAGACGATCTATCTCTCTTTGTCTTGCTCTCGTTCTCTGTTAAAACCCAAAAAATTTGTGTGTGAGTGATCTGTGAAAACCCATAAAATCTGTGTGTGTGTGTGTGTGTGTGAGTGATCTGTGAAAACCCAGAATCAAACCCTCCAAATTAAACCCAAATGCATTCCTATAATCAACAACAAAATAAATCATCTGTGTTAATTTGCTACCTTTTGCGATTTTGATTTCTCAAACCATTTGTGATTATTTGATTGTTAAATTTCTTGAACAACAACCAAAATAAATTTGTATTGATTTTATTGGGGGAGTTTCGGGTGGGGTGGAGGAGTTGTAGGGGGTGGGTTTGTAGTAGTGGATGTTTGATTTGTATTTTGTTGGGGTGGAGGAGTTGCAGGTAGGGTGAAGGTTTAAGATCCATTTATACACTCCTCATTTTGTCTGTTTTGACGCTTTTTGGAGGCCATTGATTTCGATAGTGATCTAGAACAAAACTTTAAGTTATCTCTTTTAGTCAGGGATCTGAAACGAAAGCTTGATGATGTTGAATAATATTTGCTTTGTGTGATGATGTTAATGGGTTTGAAGAAATATGTCTGGTTTCTTGAGTTTTGGGATATTGGTTGGCATGGTTATATAATAATGGGATATATTCAGTTAAGGTGGATGGATTGGCTAAACAGTCCAAACTAGGTAGAAATGCTTCTTTTTCATCAGATGATGTAAGTGTAATCGAGTGGTTTGGTATTTGGCCATAAACTAGAAAATTGGTTTTATTTGGTTGGTGTTGAAGTTGATTTTGATTGATTCAGAGCAGTATCTCATCTTAATTATTGCATATATATTGATATTATGTTGTAGGGTTTTAACAAATCAGGGATTAGGGGGCTCATGGAGGTGTAAATGGTGGAGTTAGATGGTTAGAGATGGAGATGATTGTTAGTGGGTGGAGATGGAGAATAGACAATATGAAAGGAGCCATAAAGCGGAACTATGGACAATCCAACAAGGCTTACAACTGATAATTGATTTGTTTACAATTTTTTTGTAGTAGTGGATGTTTGATTTGTATTTTGTTGGGGGTGGAGGAGTTGCGGGGGGTGGGTTTTTAGTAGTGGATGATTGATTTGTTGGGGGAGTTTCGAGTAGGGTGAAGGTTTGTTGTATGAGATATTATAAAGTATATTTAGGATAAAATGTGAAGTAGTTACCAAACATATTTTTTGTTTTTATTCTCATAATTTGATAGACAAAAATGACTCCCAAACATGTTTTTTGTTTCAGTGTTTATTACAAAACAGAGACAAAAATTGTCGAAAACGAAAACGAAAACGAAAACGTTACCAAACGACCCCTTAAGTTCCCCAACATGTTTTAGCACAATTCAGACACCAGAAAGTAAAACAAACTACATTCACGGAATACACAATCAAATTGTTCTCATACTGAATTGCAGTGTTTTTTTTTTTTTGATCCAAAAATTGCAGTGTTGAAAAACACACTAAATTATGAAAATTAACACATACCAGGAATACCTCAACAGCCTCCAACTCTACCCAGAGCATAAACACTGCCTGCGCCTTCTCCACTGCCTTGGGCCGACCCGTCAGGCATTTTGCCACAGTCGCATCACATACTTCTTTCGCATACCTGCCCAAAAATGAACCCCAAATTCGAAATTGAATCACAAATGAACAGTACAACAACATGAATAACAAATAACCATAAAAACTATGCAAATTTTCAAAAATTTAGTTACCTTCCAGCATCAGCATCGACAGCTTTTAAGTACGCAATTAAAGCATCTAAAGCTTTCTCTTGCACTGGAGCATTCGAATCCGCAACAGTCTTCTTTAAAAAGTGCCCTAATTGGAACCTAAATTTCAAAATTCAAAAAATTAAAAACTGAGGACTGTCTATATACTCTCCAACCATACATTATAATGCAGTATACATACATCACCGAAATAGTGATAAAAAAAAACAACTATATCAGACCCGAGTGGCTAGAAATTGAAATGAAAATCCCTAATCAAAACATTTCGAAATCACGGAGGTGAGTGTCCTTAGGATCGGTGATGGAATCGCAAACGGCGGCATGGTCGATATTGGCGCCGTTCCGTACCTTCCAGTTTTTGTGCATCAACCGATACTCCCTTCAACAACTTCTCTTACTCTGACATATCAATCTGCTTGTATATAAATCACTCCTCAATTCTCCCTCTATATATATCGGTCACTGCAACTTAGTGTGTGTATGAGAGAGAGAGAGAGAGAAAGAGAAATTGGGGGCCCCCCGGGGGGGGGGGAGGGGATTCGGCAATCGGCACGCAGTACCGGCGAGAGCATATGAGAAACAGAGGACCTTAGTGACTGTTTTGAAAACAGAGAGAGAGAAGAGGAGGGGGAGCAGATCCTCTGCTGTTGGGAGATAACCGCATGTCACGTGGTTAAGTAAAACGGTACCGTTTCACTTATTTTTTGTATTTTTTTATTATTCAACTGATCAAAACGACGTCGTTTTGGTTTTGTAAATTTCCAGTTCTGCAGTGTCCCTCTTTCCCTCCTCTCTGCTTC